GCCTTGGGGCCTGCCAGGGGGAGCCCGTGGAGGTTTGGCAGGCTTCCCCAAGCCTGGCTGCTGTGGGAAGCACTGTCACTTCCAGGATGCGTGCTGGAGTCTGGCTGCGGGGGTTCCTGCGGAGCTTCACATGGTCTGGGGTTAGGGCTGCGGAGTTCACAGTGACTCCACTGCTTTCTCTGGCAAGTTTCAAGCCACCAGCCTTCCCAGCAGCAGCCAGCTATAAGGGCTGCAGACTATGGGACCAGGTCACCTCCAGGCTCAAGAATGACCTCAGAGCACCCCCTGCCTCAGCTGACCCGGGGAAGGAGGGAGACGCCAGGGGTCCGAGTGTAGGAACCTACACCTTGGCCTCAGTGAGAGGCCTCGAAAACAAAAAGCTCTGCTTGTTCCACAGCCCAGATGCTTGTTTCTGTCAACAAAGTGTGCTTGCTGGCTCCGTGTGCATTCACACGGCCCCCTCACAAGTCAGACCCAAGCACAGACCCAAGCACGGAGTGTGCCAGAAACCCCCTCCATGTGTGTGAGAAGCCTCGCATCCTGACGGCCCTCCACAGAGCACTGCTGGGCCCGGCTCCTCGTTCTTCTCCCAAGTACAGAACTCGCTGGCGGAACACAGTGTCCTCGTGACAACGGTCAGTTCCCATGGCTCTTCCACGAATGGCCCCAGGCAGAACCCCTCTGCATACCTCTCCCTCATGGCTATCTCAGTAGAAAGCCATGAGAGGGACACGGCCACCAAAGGGGCCCTCCTGCAGTTTGGGGTGAGGACCCACGACAACCTCTAAGCCCCACCCTGCCCATAACCTGCACACAGCCCTCTCAGTATGACCCCAGTGCCCACGCCAGCATCCAGATTCCCTCTGCAGCCCCAGGCCACTCGCCTGCATGAGGAGAGTCACCACCCTCTGCGCTCCCGATAGCCTGTGCCTTGGCCGGGCCAAACCAGCTACCTTCTCTGCTCTCCAGGGAGTTGAGCTAGCCCCTTGTTCCAAGGAGGGGGCCTCCAAATCTGTTCTCCTGGGGGCTCGCCTTCACCCCAAGGGGCCACACTACCTCCCTGGGCCTTGCAGTCACCCTTAGCAGAGCTCAGGAGTTCCCCCACAGTGACCATCCGTCTAATCCACTGTGGTTCCACTCTCCTGACCAGACTGGACTGAGATGGTCCTCAAAATGTTGGTTTCAGCATGGGCTAGAATTGTGTTTTCATTCCAGTAATTTCAAAATGTGAAATCACACCTCTCCTGCCTGAAAGGGGGTGGCTCATGTCCCTCCCTTGCTGTGAAGATCAGAGTAGAGAGGAGGCAGGAAAGCAGGCCACACACACCACATCCTGACTGAGGATCAGGATCCAGTCTGCACCCCTGGGGCCCCCAAACTTCTCTACGGCCCCCTCTTCAGTGGGCTGATACAGAAATAAAGCAGGCCACCACACCTGGGGCTGAGCAGCACCTGAGACAAAGTGAGAGCACAACAGAGGCTCATGAGGACCATGTATCAATGGCTCTTAAGACACATGCCGATTCAAAGGTCATGATCCCAGGGTCCTGGGATCGAGTCCCACATCAGGCTCCCTCCTCGGGGGGGAAGCCTGCTTCCCCCTCTCCCACTCCCGCTGCTTGTGTTCCTGCTCTCGCTGTCTCTGTCTCTGTCAAATAAATAAATAAAATCTTTAAAAAAAAAAAAAAAAAAAGACATGCCGATTTCAGAACACAAACTGTGAAAAAAGCTCCAAGCTCCGCAGCAGAATGACTAAAACCTAGTATTTCTGTAACAATGTATTAAGCAGTAAGACACAAGACTGGAGAGTGAGTCAGTCGCCACTGCATCCAGGTGCACGGACAAACAACTCCCTCCTTCTCAAGTGCTGGGGCTGGAGGGAAGGAGGCAGGTGCCCCTGAGAGTCGCCTGCCATCGGGGTCAGAGCCAGGTCAGCCTGTGGACCTGCTGCTCCCTGGCACTTGCCCCTCCCGCCACACCCCAGCAGCGATTAACCTGGTAACACCCACTCAGTCACTCATGCTTCTCAAGGCCCATCCATCCTGTCTCTTTCAAAAGTGGTGATGGCCAAAATTCGTCCAAGATAAGCCCTCTTTAGGGACAGGGGAGACGCAGCCAGCCCAATGTCGGCAAGCTTTACTCACGACCCCAGCAGACCTCAGACTGACATGAATTTGTCATTTGTGCCTTAAGGACTGGACCCTTGTGCTGAACACAGACGTGGCGTGGGACACAGAAGATTCCAAACCCTCAGCCTCTATGGGGGGTCACGTGGGCAATCACATAAAGTAGGGATAGGGCACCTAGCCCACTAGGAGGTCTGAACATGGCCAGCCCGAGTCAGACCCTATCTTGCCCAGAAAGATGTCCTCACCTGACGAAGAAGATGCCAGCAAGAACCGGCAGAGTGCGGGCACAACCTTCTGTCACTAGGGCAACGCATCCAAGTCCCAGTAACCAGGTCCTTCCAGATGTTTCTGAGCTGTGATCCTTTTCCACCCTTTTTCTCACAGAGACTGGTGCTCAACAAGTATCTTGTTATGTTCAAAGAGGTAAAAAGAATAAGATACCAAGGATGGACATGGAATTTCCTCGCTTCTGCACCCTGACGATACACTTCCCTCGCCCCTCATGCCATCTGCCCACCTCCTCCGTAAACTGTCTTAGAAAGGCTCACACCAGAGAATCCACTCCTCCTCCCCCCGTCCCCGCAGACCCGAGGCGTTTTCTCTACTCTGTATGATGCTTACTGATTTTAGGGGCAAAAAAAAAGGGAGACGCAAATTAAAACCACAATGAGGTACCACCGCACACGCACCACAGTAACTAACCCTTACGAGATTAAGCATGCCAGGTGCGGGCGAGACTGGGGGGGAACCGGGACTGCTCACACACGGCAGGCAGGAGCACAACACGCACAGCCACTCTGGGAAGTGGCGTGGCGGCTTCCCGCAGGGTGAGTGCCAGGCGTGTGTGCCCGGGGAGTGCTCACCGCAGCTCCGCCCCTCACCGTCAAGCACTGGGCACCAGCAGAACGTCTGTCCCCGGGCCAGTACACGTGCCGTGCGGGAAGCCCGCCCGGAGGCCTGAGCACAGGCCTCGCAAGTACACCCTGGCTGCACCACGCTCAAGTGGAGTCCACAGCCGCGAGAGACCTCATACCCAGTTCCCTCCACGTGACTTCTCCAGAAACAGCAAAGCGACAGTGACAGAAAGCAGGCCTGTGGCTGCTGGGGACTGCGGAAGGTGGCTGAGAGCCAAGGGACACGAGAGAACATTTGTGGTGCTGGAAATGTTCTGTTCCGTCTGTGCTGACGGCTGCAAAAATGCATCTGCCAAAATTCAAAGTACACACTTAAGACGAGCAAATTTTACTGTGAGTGAATATCTCAGAAAGCCCATTTTTAATTTTTTTTTTTTAAGATTTTATTTATTTATTTGAGACAGAGAGAATGAGAGACAGAGAGCATGAGAGGGAGGAGGGTCAGAGGGAGAAGCAGACGCCCCGCCGAGCAGGGAGCCCGACGCGGGACTCGATCCCGGGACTCGATCCCGGGACTCCAGGATCATGACCTGAGCCGAAGGCAGTCGCTCAACCGACTGAGCCACCCAGGCGCCCAGAAAGCCCATTTTTAAAACATTACCATCAAATACACCAAGAAGAAAAGCACCGAAGGTGACAGCCTGGGCAAAGCACGGGCCGCTGGTGTGGCCAGCCCTGTCGGGAGCCGGCATTTGCCACACTCCTCACAGTGGGCTTTCACGCTTGCCCCGTAAAAACCTGTGGTTATTCAAGTCTTTCTACACCTACAATAACCCAAGTTCTTCATGGGAACTTCTTTGTTCACGTGTGCACCCCTAGAACTTAGGGGACACCCAGCGGTCATTCAAGTTAGCGTATACCGTCTGGTAAACTGCAGACAAGCAGAGATAAGCAATCATCGTGTCCTTGTAAACTCTAACACAGCAGCTGTTTTCCAACGGTTTCAAGACAGAGTGTGCGGGTTAATGTCATAAAAACCACCCCATTCCACCCCAAAACTCAGTGGCTTACATGACAAGCACCGACATCTTGCTAATGAGTCTCGGCAAGGCTGGCCTCCAGCCAGGAGCGGGATCAAGGCCTGCACAGGGTGCCTCTCCTTCTCTCTGCACAGCAGCACCCAAAGCATGTTCTTCTCATAGAGGTGATGGGAAGACCCCCAAGGGGCAAGTGGAAACGAGCTAGGTTTTAAAGGGCATGCAGACACTGTCTACATCCCACAGGCCACGTCACACGACCAAGCCCCGCACCTCTCCTCCAATGACAGGGCTCACCAGTGAAGCCATCGGCCTCCAGCTCTCTTGAAGACAAGGTCTGGGATTATAGATGCAACTTTCTAATGTTCTAGGACTGTAACATTTTATCACCTCTTGTCTGTTTGGTGTCAAGTATTTTACTTCCACGTGTATTTATAACTCCCCAAGACCATTTCCTGCACAACGATCGTGCACAGTTCTCTACATATCTACCACTCCTTCCCTTTTCTTCCGCACCTCTCACCTCTCCTCTGGGATTATTTGTTTCTGGCCTGAAGTACATCCTTTAGGATTCTGTGGGAAACTCGTAGGAAACTCCATTTTTGTCTGAAAAGTTCCATTTCAGCTTCATTCTTAGAAGACAGTCCTGCTGGGCACAGTTTCCAGCGGGTTGTTCAGCACGCTGCCCCCCCGCAGTCCACCGTGTGCCCTGCCAGGCTGCACCACAGCACACCCCCCGCCTGGCTACTCCCAGCACCGCCTGTCTCTGGACTTCTGTGTTCCCATGGTAACGTGTCTACGCGCACATTTCACTGCAGTTCAGTAAGTTTCATACATTTTTTTTTTTACGATACACAAATTTATTAAAATTTTGAAAATATTTAACCATTTACTGAGGTCAGAAAAATAAATTCCCAATATATAAAATCTAGAAAGGTAGAATTAGGCATTAGATTTCAAAGGATTTAGGAAAGAAAAAAAAAAAACCATGGTTAGATGCCACGAAGTAGGCGGCAATGCCTCACCCGTGTGCATGCTGTCAGGCCCGAGGGCCTCTTCCATCCTTGTCAAGGGGAGCACGGACCTTCTTCCCTTCCGCACACATGATTTCATGCGGTCTTCAAGCTGTCACATCCTCCCTCCTTTCCTCTGGGACACCAATTACACCTTTCAGACTTTTTCACCACACCCCTCTGTCTCACCCACTGCTGTGTCCTTTACCTGTCCCCCATCTGTGCTGTGTCCAGGACAGGTTTGGTTCTTACCTATCATTCAGAGCGCTGACCTCCCTGCAATTACGTGTGCTATCTGAAACCCAGAGTCCTGCATTCTGGTTACTGCAGGTCTCGGTTCTGGAATGTCCATCGGGTCCTATCTCACGATCTGCCATGTCACCTTTCACACCACAAGTCTCCTGCTCAAAATTTCAAAATTTCTTTAAAAATGGTAGACTTACTTCTTTCCTGCGACCTGATCTGTGATCTAGTCTCAGATTCTCTGCTGGTTCTGGCTCATGCCGTCCTGATGTGCATGGTCACTGTGACTGTATGCTGGACGCTGAGCGTGAGAAACCAGTTGTAGGAATCATGTGTACCTCCAATGATAGCGCCCGCATCCGGAGGGCTGTTCTCTTACCTGAAGCCAGGTGGGGCTTCTGTGGAGCACCCAGGTGTCCAAAGCCCCGCTGCACATCTGTGACAGTCCACTCCTGCCCTTAGGGCCTTGCCTTTGAAAGTCTCAGTGTAACGTGGAAGGGTCTCCACTTCTGGTGGGCTCTGGGCTTTGATCTTTCTCTAGGCCAGGGTTGCCCACCCTCGGCACTTTGACATCTGTTCTGTGCGTGGTAGGACGGTTAGTAGCCTCCCTGACCTCCACCCGCTAGATGGCAGCAGTGCACACCCCCCGGCTGTGACAAAGAGCATGGTCTCCAGATGTGGCCAATGTCCCCTGGACGGCAAAATCACACTGACAGGTAACCAGCCCTCTTGACTCTCACGGAGACCAAAATGTCTATGCTTCACAGCCCCTTCTTTGGGATTAGCAGATGCTCTTGAGGCACCAACAGCCCAGTGCTGTACTTGCTTATGTGGACACATACCTCCTCCTAGGGAGTCTCAGGAATCCTTTTTTCTTGTCACTCGATGAGACTTCCAAGATTTTTTTTGATATTGTGTCTCTTTCGGTTTTCAGTGGAAGGTGTGGCTGACGTCTGCACAGTCCAACATGGCAGCTTCTAGCCACACACGGCGGCTGAGCACCTGAAGTGTGGCTAGTCTGAACCGAGCGGGCTCTACATGTACAACCAGATTTCAAAGACTTGCATGGAAAAGATGTTAAGATACCTCTTTATAGAAAGAGGTATCTTTTTCTACTCACTACATGGTGCAGCATACTAGATTAAATAAAAATAGGTTTTTTAAAGTTTTGTTTTTTGTTTTTTGTTTTTTTAGTAATCTCTACACCCAACATGGGGCTCAAACACAACACCAAGATCAAGAGTCGCATGCTCTTGGTGACTAAGCCAGCCAGGCGCCCCTAAAATTAGTTTCATGTGCTTTTTACTTTTTTTAAATGTGGCTACTGGAAAACTTAGAATTATACACATTTCTGCATTAGTGACTTGCATTCTATTTCTCCCGGATGACACAGACCTGCACTATCTAATCTGCTGTAACTGAAGCAGCAGTCCCCCAGGGCGCACATTTCTGAGGACAAAGGGTAGGTCTTCTCTTCTCTGTTACTAGTCAGGGCATATACATACTCAATAATGCCACCTGGTTAACAGAGAAGAGGGAACCTCCTTCCCTATCCAGGACAGCTTAGCTTAGGCAGGCACGAAGACAGAAGAAACAAGAGAAGTCTTATTTGCCCTAAAACATTTACACAGAGAATCTGAAGATTTACCATCCGGAGGGCTATGAACTCTTTTTTTTTTAATTTATTATTTTTTTATTTTATTATGTTATGTTAATCACTATACATTATATCATTAGTTTTGTTTTGTTTTGTTTTTTAAGATTTTATTTATTTATTTGACAGAGAGAGACACAGCGAAAGAGGAAACACAAGCAGGGGGAGTGGGAGAGGGAGAAGCAGACTTCCCGCGGAGCAGGGAGCCGGATGCGGGGCTCAATCCCAGCACCCTGGGATCATGGTCTGAGCCAAAGGCAGATGCTTAACAACTGAGCCACCCAGGCGCCCCCATTAGTTTTTTATGTAGTGTTCCATGATTCATTGTTTGCATATAATAACACCCAGTGCTCCATTCAATACATGCCCTCTTTAATACCCATCACCAGGCTAACCCATCCCCCCATTCCCCTCCCCTCTAGAACCCTGTTTGTTTCTCAGAATCCATAGTCTCTCATGGTTCGTCTCCCCCTCCGATTCCCCCCGCTTCATTTTTCCCTTCCTACTTTTTTTTTTTTAACACCTAATGTATTATTTGTCTCAGAGGTACAGGTCTGTGATTCATCAGTCTTACACAATTCACAGCACTCACCATAGCACATACCCTCCCCAATGTCCATCACCCAGCCACCCCATCCCTCCCACCCCCCACCACTCCAGCAACCCTCAGTTTGTTTCCTGAGATTAAGAGTCTCTTATGGTTTGTCTCCCTCTCTGGTTTCATCTGGTTTCATTTTTTCCTCCCTTCCCCTATGATCCTCTGTCTTGTTTCTAAAATTCCTCATATCAGTGAGATCATAGATACTTGTCTTTCTCTGATTGACTTATTTCGCTTAGCGTAATGCCCTCTAGTTCCATCCACATTGTTGCAAATGGCAAGATGTTAATTTTTTTATGGCTGCATAATATTCCATTGTATATACATATACCACATCTTCTTTATCCATTCATCTGTTGATGGACATCTAGGCTCTTTCCATCGTTTGGCTATTGTGGACATTGCTGCTATAAACACTGGGGTGCATGTACCCCTTCGGATCACTACGTTTGTATCCTTGGGGTAAATACCCAGTAGTGCAATTGCTGGGTCGTAGGGTAGCTCTATTTTCAACTTTTTGAGGAATCTCCATACTGTTTTCCAGAGTGGCTACACCAGCTTGCATTCCCACCAACAGTGTAGGAGGGTTCCCCTTTCTCCGCATCCCCGCCAACATCTGTGGTTTCCTGACTTGTTAATTTTAGCCATTCTGACTGGTGTGAGGTGGTATCTCATTGAGGTTTTGACTTGGATTTCCCTGATGCCCAAAGCATGTTTTCGTAAGTCTGGTAGCCATTTGTATGTCTTCCTTGAAGAAATATCTTTTCATGCCTTCTGCCCATTTCTTGATTGGATTATTTGAGTATTGTTGTATTGTATTGTATTATTTGGGTATTGAGTTTGATAAGTTCTTTATAGATTTTGGATACTAGCCCTTTATCTGATATGTCATTTGCAAATATCTTCTCCCATTCTGTCGGTTGTCTTTTGGTTTTGTTGACTGTTTCCTTTGCTGTGCAAAAGCTTTTTATCTTGATGAAGTCCCCATAGTTCATTTTTGCCCTTGCTTCCATTGCCTTTGGCGATGTTTCTAGGAAGAAGTTGCTGTGGCCGAGGTCGAAGAGGTTGCTGCCTGTGTTCTCCCCAAGGATTTTGATGGATTCTTGTCTCACATTTAGGTCTTTCATCCATTTTGAGTCTATTTTTATGTGTGGTGTAAGGAAATGGTCCAGTTTCATTCTTCTGCATGTGGCTGTCCAATTTTCCCAACACCATTTATTGAAGAGACTTTTTTCCACTGGACATTCTTTCACACTTTATTGAAGATGAGTTGACCATAGAGTTGAGGGTCCATTTCTGGGCTCTCTATTCTGTTCCATTGATCTATGTGTCTGTTTTTGGCCAGTACCATACTGTCTTTTTTTTTTTTTTTTTTTTTTTTTGCAAGAGAGAGAATGAGAGACAGAGAGCATGAGAGGGAGGAGGGTCAGAGGGAGAAGCAGACTCCCTGCCGAGCAGGGAGCCCGATGTGGGACTCGATCCTGGGACTCCAGGATCATGACCTGAGCCGAAGGCAGTCGCCCAACCAACTGAGCCACCCAGGCGCCCAGTACCATACTGTCTTGATGATGACAGCTTTGTAATAGAGCTGGAAGTCCGGAACTGTGATGCCACCAGCTTTGCTTTTCTTTTTCAACATTCCTCTGGCTATTCGGGGTCTTCTCTGGTTCCATACAAATTTTAGGATTATTTGCTATGAACTCTTTTTTTTTTTTTTAAGATTTTATTTATTTATTCATGAGAGATAGAGAGAGAGAGAGAGAGAGGCAGAGGCAGAGGGAGAAGCAGGCTCCCCACGGAGCAGGGAGCCCGATGCGGAACTCGATCCCAGGACCCTGGGATCATGACCTGAGCTGAAGGCAGACGCTTAACCGACTGAGCCACCCAGGCGTCCCTGAACTCTTTTTTAATAACAACACAATTAACGCATATTAGGCACTCATTTTCTATGAAGCAATTTATACGCATTTCCATACATAAATATAATTAGTGTAGCAGACATGGACCGTCCCTTCAATTAAGGACTGGTGCTGCCGAGAGCATGGTTAGCTGGCAGGGTTAGCTTTGTCAGGGACTGCCTTCCTTGGCTTTGAGCCACAGGTGAGCAAGGGGTGGTACAAGGGCCCAGCCATTCCCACCCAACGCCAGATGCCTCTAACAGGCAATCTTCACCCCAAAGCTCCCTAAGGGCCAGCTTCTCCATGTGGCACCTCCTCTGCCTGCCTCTAGCCCTCTCCCTCCCTTCACTTCTCACTGGTGCTCCTCATAAATCCTCTATCCTCCAAGCCCATCTCAGGGTCTGCTTCACAGAGAACCCAGCCTGAGATGATCATCAACACCCCACTTCGCAGCTGAGCAAAGACCCACAGTAAGTAACTTGACAACGTAGCACAGCTAGTAAGCATCAGAGCAGGAATGCGTCTGCAGGTAGTCAGGGCAACCTTACTCTTAACCACCACATGATATTCCCTTTAAGAAACAATGAAAGTTATAAACCCCTCACCAGAGAAGATATACAGATGGCAAGTGAGCCACGAAAAGATGCTCCACATCACATGTCATCAGGGAAATGCACATTAAAACAACAGTAAGATC